CTTTGTGAATAACCTTAAAATATATTCCAACTCTAACTATAAAATTTAAAGTTTCAATAATAGTATAGATCGAGAATATCTATGAAAACTTGAAAATCTTGAAAATTGACGGTCCAAAAATGCATTACAAGATGCACTAGTTCCAAAATGTAAAATCATTTTTTTCTCGTGTGCATGCATCTTGATGTCGAGATGATCAATTTAAGGACATTTGAGCATCAAAACAACCTCTTCTAATGAAAGTTTTGAGGTCCTCTCTAATTTGAATGTTTAGAGCCTCGGCTCTATATAAACTTCTTCCTTTATATATATACATGAGATAGTTTGGGGAGCTTTGGATTTCCAATACAATAAACTAACAAATGAAAGAGGCGCATAAAGGATGAATTTTTCTGCCACTCTATCTAAGATTCCCTCCTTTTGAAACTACACAAGGTATCTTACTTTGAGGATCTTCTAGCATCTGAAGATACACCTGTGGACTCCCAAGCCGCCTCAACCTTTGATTTCCTTCCATCCTCCAGTGTTACAGATATGTAGAAAGTGGACTTATCTAGTGATATCTCAAATGGAAGAGATTAAAGAGTTTATTTAGAGTATAAAAAGTGAGAGCATCCAAGGACCATATGGTTTTGGGGTGGAGTCATGTAAGTATAACTGAGACATTTTTTTGCAGGGGTCTCTTTTTAGCATTCAGTGATTTCTTTAAGAAAGGTAAATTCTTGAAAGAAGTGAACTCGCAATTTATTTGCTTGATCCCAAAAATTTAATCACGTACCAATATAAAAGACTTCAAACCGATTGGTCTTTGCAATGTCTTTCACAAGATTATTTGAAAAATGTACCAAATAGGATTGGAGGGTTCTAGATGGTCTCATTCATCCTTGTTAAACAGCCGTTTTGAAGGCTGCTTATAATAGATAATGTGTTCATTGCTAATAAGATAATTTCAATGTATCGAGACCTAAAATATGCATTCAGTTTGACTTGAGCAACGCTTATGACAAAGTATCTTGGGATTTTATTTTGGCATATCTTATGTCTTTAGGTTCGCCCTATCTTTGTGACCTAGGTAAAGAATTGCATTACTACCCCAAGCTTCCACCTTGTCCATTCTCAAACAAAGATTGATTGATCGATTCAATAGTACGGTCGACTCCCCCCATCTAGTTGAGTTTAGAAAGTAGAATCTATGTATGTCTATGCATGAAAGGAACGAGAGGATCCACTTAGAGTTTGAGGAGGCCTCCATTCCGAAGCCTGTCTTGCCACAGTGTGCCCAACGACATCTAGTGGTCTCTCCTCTTGACTACACCCGCAAACAAAGGGAGATTCGGATGGTTGAATCATTCATTTTTTCCACTCTGTGGACATAGGCACTTTGCGTGCTATAGGATGACTCGCTTTCTGATGGATTGGGTCGGTAAAATAGCCACTGGATGATATTAAAGTTATAAAAATTCGTGGAGTTGCTGCTTGGATTATTGTAGAGTAACATTAAGCATCGTTCCTTCTATTTCGCTCAATGTTAATCACATGCTGCTATGCAAAAAAGGTGGGGGAGAAGCCGAAGGCCAAAGGCGCTGAAGCCGAGGCGACGTGCCGTACAGAGCTAGAGGCCTAATTTGTTGAGCAAATCAGCCTCAAATGCTTGTGAGGCTCAATGAATCGTAGATCATTGAGCCGAAGCATCATACGATGTACGACTCGGTCCTTCATCATGGGTCGCATTACTTTAGGGGCGACTGTAGTCTTCGAGAGGGCGACCCACTATCTCCCTATTTATTTTTGTTGGTCTTGGACTTCTTAAGTAGACAACTTCATGAGGCATTCAACAATTGTTCTCTTGGCTTTCCCTTCAAGCGGCAAATTATGATGTTTCTCATTTATTATATACAGATGATGTGCTCATATATAAGAAGCCACAACGCAACGCCTATGGGCAAAAATGAATAATATTTTCTCCCATTAGGCTCGGCACCGTCCAATTTTTTCAGACGCCGTGGATAAATTGACTACAATAGCTCTATGAGAGCCATTGCGACTTTTTAAGCAAAACCACAACAGGCTTTGATAGAGTTATTGCGAGGCAAAACCCCTGTAGCATTTCGCCGAATTTGGTGAAGGCAAATATTTAGGCAACCACGGATCAAAAGTCAAACATCAACAAAAGCAAATTTTTATTCTTTAGGATGAACTCCGGCATTAGAATAGGGACCAAGGATATTCTTCGTTTTGCAGATGGCGAATGGCCCGATAAATACCTTGATTTGCCACTTTTCCATGAACCATTTAAGTTGTCACATTGTCATAGTTTGGTTGGCAAAACTGTTGCTAAAATTGGTTCACGTCAGACACTTACGCTTTCTTTTGTTGCTAGGTTATAGCACCTCAAATAAGTTCTCAATATATATTGGCTTCTCTCTTTTCCTTTACCTAGCCGTATTGGCAAGGTCTTGGAAAGGCTTCAACTGAATTTCTTATGGGAATGTACCACTGAATGTGAGGGCCTACACTTGGAGAGCTAGAAGACCATTTGTTTAAAACTGAATGAGGGCGGCCTAGGCATCCAGAGATTATACGACTTCAATATGGCCGGGATGATGAAAGCATGGTATTTGGCTGCTAACCCCTTTCCCTACTTGCCCGATTTTTTAAGCACAAGTATTTCACAAATTCCTCTATTTGACACGCTAAAAACAATAATGTTTTCATGCGTAGAGGGGCATATACTTAGGGCTTAATTGTCACACCTCAAGAATTTACAGTACTATTATTCTTGAGATGTGACAGACAAAACATATATACATCTATTGATAGGACAAATTTACAGTGGCAAGGTCTTACATAGTAAATAAAGAAAGCTAGCACAACAACGATATCTTCCAAGGTTGATCTTGACTAGCACTCAAAATGAATCTGTAGTTATCCTGAAAAAATGTTTACCATAGTTTGATGGTTTGGCTACTCAGTAAGTGATCATCATAATCCTAAAAATAATCATGATTGAAAGATATCAATATTTTCCAAAATGAGATCTATTAACAGAAATGCATCAACAGTTTCACTTTCAATAAATGCATAATTAAGTGTAATCCGAGTAATTGAAATGCTTATAACACTTTTAACGGCAGTACATAATTCAAAGGATTTCACAAAATACCCTACTGGCGTCCCAAGTAGGTCACCTATATACCCCATCAGCATCCTGATGAGTCCACTTAATCCCTATCGGCGTCCTAGGTAGGTCCACTTAATCCCTGCAGGTCCACTTATACCTCACCGGCGTACCGGATGAGTCCACTTAATCCCTACCGGCGTCCCAGATAGGT